GGATGCCCTAAAACTTTGCTCTTGATTGCCCTTACGTCTGCATTGTCAGGGGCGTAACTGTTCGGCGGGGGAGGGTTGGGGGGGGGGGGAAGGAGAGGGTGACACACACCAAAGTTTAAAGCAACGTTTTTTTCGGGCAAATTGCGTCCAATCCTTGGCTCTGCGTCGGTCAAAGCGGTAAATCAAACATTCGTACGCAAAAAAGAAAAGTTGACATATGAACTAATCATGTTCAATATTGTTGTTATCAGCAGTGTAATGTTGATAAAATAATTACTATGTATATGCTGATAAAACATCTATTCATCTCACAATGGTATATATATATGAAAAACGCTAAACGCTATAATTGCGCTTCTATTGAATTACAAGTTTGTCTTAATATATTTTTTACTACTTGTATATCGTTGCTACGTTTTGTGGGTGTGGCATTAGTTGCAGACCACGCCCTTTTGTCAGGCAAAATGACTCCCCCCCCCCCCAATGCCTAGACCGCAGTTACGCACCTGTGCATTGTCCCTCTGTGCCCTACCATCGCTCCGGCGTCCCTGCTCACATAAAAACAGGATAGACTTGTCAACAACCGCAAAAGAAGGCAATATTCAGTATTTGTGGGCTTAAGTGTTCCCAATGGCCAACTTCAGGCCCATAGACTCGAGTTATTCGAGTTATTTAATGTAAATATAACCAGTTGATCGTAACCAGTCGAATCGCAGGTACTGTCCAAGGGGGATTATCACCCCCTTGATTCAGATCAATGTCAGCGGGGGTCGATACCTGGGGATTATGACCACTAGGGCACTTAGTCTCCCCTAGCGGGTCTTATATATACGGGTCTTATATATACCCCTGGCGGGTCTTATATATATTACCCTGCGAGATGAATAATTGGTTCACTTCACTCTGAACCCATCTGCCACAATAATTTGGCGTGTGTTTATATAATTGATGTATTTTCCGGGCGTTCTTTCACGTATAACGTGCTTGAGTCATTAAACAAAATTTCAAACTTTTTTCTCAGCCATTATGCAGATTGTTCTTATCCGCGCGGAACTTAAATAAGCAATCCTTTTCTTAATTCATTTTTAAAATACGGAGGTTTGAAATTCTAGATTCCCATATAAAAAAACAAGTATAGCTTTGTAAACAGAAGCTACGAAAAGAAGTAAACAAGTACGCTTCCAAGTGACAAGTGTATTAGAAAAGTCGAATATTCTAAAGTGTAGTTTATCTATTTTATTCAAGCTTCGTGTACAGCTCCCATACCATTAGGAATGGAGAGTGGTAAAATACCTGATAATGCAATCACAGCGTCATCTATTTACCCCCACGCCCAGTACAATCCTAGCTATGCAAGACTGAAAAAAGCAAGTTCGAGCTGCTCTTGGACACCTACTGGTCAAGGAAGAGTCGGCTCGTGGCTTCAGGTTGATCTGGGAAAACTCACCACAGTGACAGGAATAGCAACCCAGGGAACATGCTATGGGGCCAACGAATGGACAACATCGTACTCGATTTCATACAGCACTGAAGGCAATACATGGTCATTTTACGTACAATCAGGGAATGTAGTAAAGGTATGTCAGCGCATCAAACAAATGAAATTTGAATATGTTGTTCTATACGTAAATATCAGAATTTTGCCGGCATCTCACTCGATTGATATAATTGATATTGAAATAATTGATACTGATAAAATATTGAAACTTTATCTGACTTTTTTAATTATTTAGGTTTTTCAAGCAAACGCCGACAAAAACTCCATTGTTACTCACTCATTTAAGAATCCTATTCATGCTCGGTACATGCGTGTGTTGCCAAAATCTTGGAGCAGTTATCCTACAATGAGGCTCGAGTATTACGGTTGTCCCTACTAGTAGAACTTGCATGTTTAATACCTGCATGCATGCACGCATGCATGGTTATGTTACAGATATATAATAATTGCTTTATAATGCTTACTTTTTCTTTGTACTGTCTTGTTAATTATGCGTAGTAATAATAATAATAATAATAATAATAAATTGTAGCTTGGCTAAATATGGCATATATATGTGTATACTGGATTACCAAACTTACTAATTAAAGACAAACAGTTGCCTGGTCCTGTGATCCATCATATGTATTGTTGGATTTTTAGCGTTATTTCATTTCAAGAGCTTGAGGAATACTGCTACTGACTTGTTCATGTCTCACCAGCTGCACCACCTTAAACACATCAACTATCACTTTGGCGTGAATGCGTGTAAACGTGCTTTCAACGATTTTCAATTTTTAATTTTATGTAAATTTGTGAATGTCGACATATTAGTTAAATCGGGAGGTAGCCTCGCATGGGCTATTAAGGCCCGTTCGCTATTTTCCCGTTTAGGAACTGCATGTTTGTTGTATTTGTATACGTAATTAATGTCATATATTTAGTTCCTAATAAAGCTGTTAAAAAAAAAGCAAAGGGTATTTACGCAAAAAGATATTATCGCCTAGTACTAGTTTGCGTTGATCCCGTAAGGATTTCACTTCTTTGTAAGAGTAAGCATTACGATATCTCGAAAAAGTCGACCATGTTACAGTTCTGTACTTCCTTCCGTTCCTCTTTTTTCGTTTGGGCCTTCTCATATGTTCAAGCAATTCAGGAAAGTGCCTGTTCCAAAGTACCAAAGAAAGCCGTTCCCGCGTTGGGATCAAAAATCATATATGGATTACACTCATAGATAATGAAATATTAAATCCAAATAACATGTCTGAGAAGATGGGAAAAGACATCTTTGCACCACGACAATGCACGTCAATGGTTTTTGATTCGCTAAAATACCATGTTTTCTTGTATATAATCACTAGACAGACATTTTTTGTAGGATCGTTGTTAAAAATATTCAATAACGGTGGACCAAGAATTGTTGTGAAAACAAACTTTTCCCAGTCTATGCAGGCATGCACTCAGATGCAATGTTTTGTGCAACTACTGCACTTTCAGGAGAGACAAATCTCATTTCTTTTATTATAGGAGATATTCTACGCGTTGTTCCTCGTTTAGAGGCGCGATATGATTGGCAACATGCATGCCATTTCGAACTCTTATCAAACATGCATGAGAAAACACGATTGAGATATGTTCACAATACATGTCATCACGCTCCAAAGGCAAACGAATGAAGACCGCTTTTAAAGAAGTCGCACTTGTTTCAAGTGATGAGGACTGCTCGACGATTCAGAAGGTATATAATTATGCAGGTATACCAATTTGGAAGTTTGGAACGAGTTTGTTTCAAAATTAAAAGCCATCAAAATTGCATGAGTCCGCACGACGGATGTTGCTATTTGATATTTGAAGTCTTGTAAACGTACAGTACGAGTGCTTGTTTTTAAATGGTATAAGAATCCATGCTTTTATACTTAATGCTAATAATATACGCTGTAGATGAATCTGACACTGCTGCTTACCTCGGAACTAACTGCGGCTTACCTCCCCACAAAGGACTCCGCTTGAGACGTCCGAGTGCAGAAATTTTTTTTGGGATCACTTTCTTTGGGAGCTTGGTAACCGCGCCTGTTATGATGCAAAAAAGGAAGCCTGCATGCACAGCAGGAAATAGATTGCGGTCGAATTCTTTGACGCGACTTATATATTGTATACTTATTCACATATCGCTGCGGTTTTGACGCATTATTCATTGGGTCTTTCCAAAAGCTTTGTACCCATAAATAAAATGTAATAAAAAGAGAACACATTACAATTTTTTTTTATAAAATAGATCAAAATATACCATAAATATCGAAATATTGAATTTCGTTTTGAATATATGCTAGTATAAAGGTCATAAGTTCGTGCGTATTCGAAATATAGACACATAGAACACATTCAAATTATTCAATTAAGTAAAATTAACTATGAATTTATTTTAAAAGATTCCCTGTTTGTATTACTATTGGGTCTATATTCTGCACTTTGACTAATACTGTGTGAGTCGTGTGAGTGTAATGTCACAGATAGTCTCGGTTGAAACGTGATGTTTATACTAGCCGACAAATATGCAAACCACACACTCGAATGCTTATATGCGCACTGATGGCTTTATCATGATTATCATGTTTTATATCAAAATTCAAAGATCAAAATTTGCCTGGGCGCAATGCAGAATGTAAATAAGACACGTTTATAGATTTTGCATTATAAACTGTGTAAGCTGAGGGCGATGCACAAATTCAGTTGTAGTAACTTCTAATATATACAGTATTTTACATTCGTACTTCAGCATTCAGTTTACTTCAGGCTATTATTGCCACACACGCTAAAGGTTAATGATAATTAATGGTATAATAGACTTTATATGGAGTACCTGCATAACCCCAAAATCCCAAATTTACGTCAAGTGTCCCAACAAATCCAAATATGTACCCTGAATAAAAGTCGCGGTTACCAAGCCTCCCACGGAAAGTGATCCCAAAAAAAAATTCTGCCGTCCGAGTGCATTTACTATAATCATATGCAAATAGTTCAACCACAAACAATTACAACAGCTTATTAATATTATGCATACTACCTATTCTTGCTCCGACGTTTGAGATATAATCAAATAATCCAATACTAAGCTACAAGGCACTCGGAAACTGTATACCTCGCGAACGAATTAGTTATCATGTTTACAATGAGCTAATTACGCAGCCATTCAGTTTACTCTGCCAGGCAAAACATGACAAACTTTTGCTAATTTCTCATACAATCTCCACCAAATTTAACCAAAATTTTACATACAAATTTTCTTATCAAATACGTTTGATATTTTTAAAATTATCCTCCTGACAGACAAACACACACATACACACACACACACACACACACACGTAAAAACGCGGATGGAAACATAACCTCCTGACGGAGGTAAAAAGCCTGCAATTATATTTGGAAACCGCAGCCGCAACTGTTTACGTCAGTTTTTGTTGACGATCTTCATGTTTTCCTTCAGATTCAAAATGTAGCAAAGATGGGAATGAGGTTCGTGTTAATTTGCGTGTTAATGCGAAAAAGAATGAACCTGCAGTGAAAGAAATAAAATGTAAAAATGAAGAATGCATTCATTCATCTTCTCGGTGCATCAGCCGCCATGGTCTCTTTTGAGGACGGTGATGAGGCAAGAAGAATGATGAAGGATCAAGATTTGTTCGTTGAATTACAAACCACGAGTCAATAGAGTTTCTTCTTTGCTATTGACCACCAAGGAAGACTTGCAGAAGTTGGTCTATTTCTTTATCCCTCGCTGCACTTTCTTGCGCATGAAGCACAATGGTAAGTAAGTGATAGAAAAAGTCAAGTTTATTGCCGGTGGTAGTTTATGAGCAATTTGTAGCCTAGTAGAAACTAACACGAATCGTAGGCTGATGTATCTTCCCATTTTGGTTTCAGTTTGCCTGAAGTATTTGAATCCATCAGTCACCTTCGGACTTTAAATGCGGGAGATTATAGAGTATAGGGTTGCGTTTGGGTCTTGTAGGGTAAAATGCATTGATAGCAGACGACATGCCTGATATTGTCCATGAACCAATTAAGCTGTTTGAATAAATTATTATGTTGGGAAAGCATAATTTATTGAAAGCATTAATTAATATGTGTTGGGAAAGCATTAATTTAAGAACACCTAACCAACAGTGGCGGAAATCTTGGTGGGGCGGGGGGCGGGGCGCCCCCCTCCCCCCACCTTCACGGCAAATTTACAAATTTTCGGAAATTTTGACCTAAAAAGGGGCTAAAAACAGTCTTTTCGAGTCCAAATGGGGGGGGGTATGTCGGAAATTTGAAAGTTTTGTCGGAAATTTAGGAGGCTTTGCCCCCCCCGCCGCAAAAAGTAAATTTCCGCCACTGCTAACCAAGGCGCGTGACTCGCGTGACTGCCCGCTCTCATGCAGTCTCATCCTCGTTTGATCCGGACTTTTAGTCATCTTGTGGTTCCTGAGTTCACTCAAAAGTTTTTCAGTAGCAATTAAGCAACTGATGCAACATTCAGTAATTCAAATATATAATGACGTATTATTCGCATGCAATGACGTTGTTGTAAGTAGCTTGCAGCCTAGTCCCAGGCTCTCTCTCTATTCGCTGCGTTGGTATATTTAAATAGTCTTAAAAGGTTTATGCCACTGAGCTCTACTATATATATCTGGAGATCGTGCTCGCAAATGAAAAGTGTCCGCAAAAACATGGCGGATTTCGAGCTCCACGTCCACTATTCTCATGGTACGTTAACTGACCACAGCTCAAATGCGTGCGGGCGACATTTCCCACTCCCCCCTGACCAGAGAGCCACTGATCTTTATAATTTTTAAAAAGGAGTACATTGGAGAAGATTTGAAATTAGTAAATATTTATAGTTACATATAGGTGTAAAAGGTTTCTTCTGAACTTGACCAACTACTATCAAGTTCAAGCTGGATCATTAATTCATTCGAGCGACTATCTCCACAATTTCTGCTGTGAAATGTATAAATGATGATCCAAACAGATAATATATTGAGCTGAACGAATGGTGGTATTTTTGCCCATGTCGCATGTATGCTTTTGCAGTATCGGTAGGTGCAGACCTACAGTATTTTGTGTGGAGCCGTAGAAAATGAGTAATAAATTACTAAATTAACGAGAAATTGAAATAATTGTCATGATGGGAAACAGACTTTTGAAATTTCGAGGACTATGGTGATTCTGTTTCCATATGTTAATAAATAAACAACAAAAGCTGAAAAGCACTACAGGTGAGGCATTTTTCAAAATTTTAATGAAACACTTGTACTGTACCATACATTCATTTATTGAAATATACTATAATTTATTACTATTATATAATATTTCAACTCGATTACTACTTGTATATAATGCACATATCAATGGCCTGGCCCTGGGGGTACACCCCCGGGACATTGCAAAAACATGATTCTAATGCATTAATTCCCCCTCCCTCCCCCGGGAAATGTGTAAGTCAAACTGCCCTCCCCCTGGGCTTACAATAAAGTAGTTCATAATATAAATAGCATACAAACAATTAAAAATTATTATACAAACTGGGGTATCACAATGGCACTCGTGTATTCCGTATTTATTTATTCAAATTTTAGCAAGACCACTACAAAATATCATAAATAATAAGTTGCCGATCGATATTTTTCTGTGTGAGCCTGTGATTTTGAGTTCACACCAATTATGTACTTCATTTATAAAATTCAAATTGTCACGTCAAAGTCCCCTACTTTCCCTCCCCCCCAACGTCCTATTATTGTGAAGTTTGTAAGGGAGTGGTCATTATTTATGGGAGGGGGGGTTGGGAAATGGGAGGGGGGGGACAAAGTTTTACCCTTATAAATAGGGGGGATCAAAAGTTTTAACACAGAGAAAGGGGGGGGAGTCATAAAAGTTTTTGAACTTAAATACTATGTCTAGAGTTCTGATTTCTATAATCACAAATAGCAAAAAAGAAGACTCTGAAAATGCTATTTCCAACAATCTAGATACTCAAAATTTCCCTGCTTTGGGGTGGACATCTACAAAAAGGGACCATACTATATTGAGTGCGGAGAGATGACAGATGGTTGTTGGTGACAAAAAGTTTGGTGTGGTATTGTATGTACTAGTAGGGGGTCCGGGGATTCTCCCCCAGAAAATGTTTTGTATTTTTCCACCCCTAGAACTGAAATGTAAGCATTTTCTGAAACAGATTTTTGGATATACAACGTTACATTGTGTGTTGATAGACCGAATCTGATCAGTTAAGTGTATTTGCATGGTATGTTTATGTAAATACCACAACTGGGTCACTCAGGGGGTAGCAAGCTTGTTAAACTTAGTGTGCCCGACTCCAATGATTGCGAGGCACTACCATGGTTGGTGCCCAGACAAGTTCTTAAAAAAACACTGTGTTCAAATCATTTTGCTGTATGAAGACGGGTCATGGGTTAGGGTTATGGTGGGACAAATGTTGCATTGCAAAGTAGTAACACATAATATATATTTTTAATCACATATGGTTGAATCATATTCACCAGGGTAAAACATCATGAGCTAGATTAAACAGATTGTCCTAATATCTAACTTTACATGCAATGCACACCTGTTTCATTGCTGTTAATTTTTCAATCCATACTGGGGGGTGGGGGTCAGAAAAGTTTCTACTTTTATGAGGGGGGAGACACAAAAAGTTTGCCTTCAGTCTGGAGGGGGGTCAAAAAAGTTTTCAATCCTTATTTTCCCCATTTCCCAACACCCCCCTCCCCATAAATAATGACCACTCCCTAATCTCCCCGGGGTTCACAGGCAGAACACACAGATAAAATACCAAATTCCCCCTCGTTTCCCCCCAGTTGTCCCAGGGTGTACCCCCCGGGCAGGCCGTTGATATGTGCATAATTCTCTTTCAAATTGTATAAAAAGTATGTTGTTCCTTTTGCATTTCTACTATACATATAATTTTAATGTATAAATTTGTGAACACAGCCATGCTTTGTTGAAACAAAACTTATGTTGGTTTATGCATGTATCATCTAAATATTTACTTCTGTTTGTATTTTTCAGATTATGGAAACTGCACATTGTTGATCATGTCTACTCACAATGTACTCTGTGCACATTATGGGGAAAGTAAATCTGCACTAATAAATACCCAAATGTATATGGCTCTACGTTTGTCACTGGAATCATTGTTATATTCGATGGCAATTCATGGCAATAGAATCATATTGTTTGACCAGGCAAAGGATTGGTTAATTAAGGATCTAGCACACCAAACAATTATATATTATTTTATTAAACATATTCTTATGTGCATTTATTTATTAATTTTCATTACAAATTAGATTTATTCAACATTTAAAAAGTTTAATTTAAAAATATATACAATATTATTATATTACTATTACCAGGCCATCAATAAGTATTCTTGGTTTCATACCCATGTTTTATTTTGTTAATTCCATAAGGGTATTCTCGGGTTGTCCCAAATGATACAAGTGAAACACGCACATAGCTATCGCTTTTAATAAAAGAGTACTTGATGTCATATTTACTTCAATATATTTTATTGAAGCTATGCTGGATATAATTAGCTGATATTTCCAGTGGTGGCACCAGCAGTGGGGACATCCCCCCCTAAAATATTTTTCAAACCAAGAATATTTATTAATGGCCTAATAAATAAATTAAAATTAACACACAACACTCACACAACATTCACACATTATAACATACACAAAGTTACTTAGTGAATTTAATATCATGGCAATTGTGCCAATTATGTTGTTCTTGAACAACTGTCTGAGTGGGTTTTTGCTCTATTTGGGCACACAATTTTTGTATGCCCTCTTTTAAAACACATCCAGCATACCATTCCTAGTAAATGTACAATAAATTTTAATATAGAGGGGCCACAAAAAATTTTTGACCAGTGAAGGGGGGGGGGGCAGAAAATATTTTGAACATAAAGGGGGGGGCAAAAAATGAAATCTATAGTTTGTAACATGCAATATCAAAAGAGTGATGGATATATACAGTATACATACATTGAACAGTAATGCCCAATATATTGAACCTAAAAGTTGTGTTCTAGGTGTCGAAGAAATATGAACATTCCAGTATACAGTATATAGCTCAGGACTTTAGCGCATGCGCATGATGATATTTACATGTGCTCGATTCAGAGATTGACTAAAACTATAGCGTATTTGGTTTATATTCTACTATAAAGGTTGTACTATTTCTATGCATATTACTCTATTAAACGAAGTCAAGTACTCTATTTCCGTCATACACATTCTACTCTACATTAATTGGTGCCGTGACCAGGATTATGGCGGAAAATCTACCAAAACTTCAAGCATCGCGAGCGGGCTATCGGGCCCATTTGACACAAACAATCAAGAAAGCTACAAATATTGCAACGAAGGAGGATCCCCTAACGGACAGTGATATTACATCTTTAAAGAGAATCGTTGATCAATTAGCTCGGAAAAGGTCGATTCTAGAAGAACTAGATGAGAAAATCGTAGGCATGATCGAAGACCCAAAGGAACTGGAGAGAGAAATATTCCAAACCGAGGACATCAAAGAAGAAATTGACGAGACAGCAGCTCAGATAAGTAACACTATTGAACATTTTCAATCTACAAAATTGTCTCAAAGTAACTCCCCCTCTGAAGTAACTCAAGTAATCTTAGAAAATACAAGCAGTCAATCCCCATCAACAACAGTGAACACAAATGATCAAACAGACTCAGGGCCCCCTAATGAAATTGTTCAACAAGATAATTCCCCCCCTGTAAACACACAATCACAACAAGATAGTCAACCCTCTACAAATGCACAATCACAGCAAGATAGTCAACCCTCTACAAATGCACAGTCACAACAAGATGGTCACCCCGCTACAAACACACAATTTCACCAAGAGACCCCAGTTATACCAGTATTTCCACCAACCCTACCAACAACTACACCCCACCACCCCAGCCTTATCAATCAAAATAGTCGTCTACCAAAATTAAACCTTCCAACATTTTCTGGGAACCCGCTACAATGGTTTACATTCTGGGACTCATTTGAAGCTGCAGTCCACTCCAATTCAACCCTCGGGGATGTACAAAAGTTTAGTTACCTTAAGGCCCAACTGGTGGGTGATGCATCAAGAGCTATTGCAGGGTTTCCCCTCACAAACCATAACTATACCAAAGCTATTCAACTCCTAAAGGAACGATTTGGTAACCCCACCAAAGTAATTAATGCACACATGCAGTGTCTACTTGATCTGCCAAACCCCAACTATGAACTAGCAAGTTTACAACTATTCTATGACACTATGGAAAACCACATTAGGGGGTTAGAATCGCTCGGCAAAGCCCACAGTAACTATGGAGACCTCCTAGTCCCAATTGTTCTGGGAAAATTACCACGTCAACTCAGAACAAACTTAGCCCGTGACCATGACAGTCCCGAATGGAAATTTACACAACTGAGAGAGTCCATTCGTAAAGAAATAAGAATTCTAGAAGCCGGTGTTCAATCCAATCTAATGCAAGCTACACTGCCATCACCTAAACACACAACAGCAGGTTCGTTTTTCACACAAACACAAGGAAACCAACATCATACCACAAGATACAAACCGGGACACACTACTAAACGATGTGTATATTGCAAGGGTCCTCACCCCACCTACAATTGTAATGTTGTAAAGGATTCCAAGAGAGGTGGACAATCGCGAAAAGGGAAAAACTGTGTTTCAATTGCTTGGGAAATCATAAATCATCAAACTGCCAATCCAAGTTCCGTTGTCTGAAATGTAAGGGGAAACACCACACCACCCTATGCCCTCATTCAATGACGCCTACTAACCCCCCTCCAATAACACCTCCACCCCCTCCCTTACACCAAAATCCCAACAATCAACAAGCCCTTCCCACTACTCCAAATACACCACAGCCAACACCCATCCATGCAACTCTGGTCCCATCCACCCATTCTCCAACAGTAAGACATGTTTCGCTTTTGAAAACAGCCATTGCAACTGTGAGCGCAGGGCAACTTCATTGTGATGCCAATATTCTTCTTGATGAAGGAGCTCAACGGTCTTTTATTACTACTGACTTAGCAAACCAGCTTGGAGTTATGTCCTCCGAAACAGAGGAAATTGCACTATCAGCCTTTGGAGCCCAAACCTCAGCTAGACGTCACCTACCACTTGCTACTGTTTATATCATCACCCGTACTGGACAACAAATTCCATTACAAGTTCTTGTAGTTGAGGAGATAGCAACGCCCCTCCAAATTCCACCTCGTCAACATATAAATGATATGCCCCACCTGAAGAATTTAATCCTAGCCCATCCTATTGCAGCTCAAGAGGACTTTCGTATATCATTGCTTATCGGAGCCGACCATTACTGGGATATAGTAGAAGATGAAGTGATTCGTGGTCAGGGACCCACTGCTGTTGCATCAAAACTTGGTTATCTTCTCTCTGGGCCATTACCAACACCTTCCAAACCCTCCAACACCCTTGTGAGCCTGTTGCAGACAGTCAGATCCACCAAAAGAACAGAACTTGATCTAGAAAGATTCTGGTCCCTCGAATCTATTGGCATCACTCCGCCATCCTGCACTGAAAACCAACAAGATTTCCTGGAAAATTACATCAACACCTCTATTACCAGAAACCCAAATGGCAGTTACGCAGCAAAATTCCCATGGAAAGATGATGCACCAACCCTCCCAGACAACTACCTAGCATGTGAGCGTCGCACTCGAGCGATGATCCATCGACTTGCCTCTACCCCTGATTTGCTGAAATGTTATGGCGACATTATTGAAGAACAAACAAAGCGAGGATTCATTGAGAAAGTCGAAGAAACCAAACTAACCGACAAAGCACATTACATCCCACATCACCCTATCCGAAAGGAATCAACAACAACATCAGTCTGAATTGTTTTCGACTGTAGCTTTCACTCATCACCAAATTTTCCTAGTCTGAACGACTGTCTTCTTACTGGTCCACCGTTTCTGAATGACTTGTGTGCCATTTTACTGCGGTTTCGTACATTTACCTATGGCATATCAGCAGACATTGAGAAGGCCTTTCTCCATGTCGGACTCGATGACAGTGACCGAGACTTCACTAGATTCCTTTGGCTCTCAGACCCTACAAACCCAGAGAGCAAATTTGATATCTTCCGCCTCAAGACCGTCCTTTTTGGATCAACTAGCTCTCCCTTCATGTTGAATGCTACCCTCCGTTGCCACCTAGAAAACTACGACCTCCCTATAGCTCAAGACATAAAGGACAATATTTATGTTGACAACATAATCTCTGGTTGTGACCAAGAAACGGACAGTATTCTGTACTACAACGACGCCAGATCTATTATGCATAATGCACATTTCAATCTCCACTCTTGGGCATCAAATAGTCCATCACTTCAAGAAATTGCTACAAAAGATGGAACAGCTGATCCTAAAACCATTGTCAACATCCTCGGTTTGAAATGGAATCCATCAACAGATACTCTAAGTTTCCCACCAGCACAGGATTACACACCACCCCCAACTATCACTAAGCGTCACGTATTACAAATCTCTTCCAAGATCTACGACCCTCTTGGACTTTTATCTCCTGTAACTGTCAAAGCAAAACTACTAATGCAAGAACTGTGGCAGAACGAACTGGAATGGGATGAACCACTACCTCTTGAACTCAAAACCAAATGGCTAAATATTGCAAGGGACTTACAAGAAGCAACCAGCGTTTGCATGCAAAGAAGATACCTTTCACAAACTCCTGCACCAATTTCCGCAACAGAAAAACAGGCAGCATTGAAAGTATGGATCCAAAATTGTCAAACCCTACATTACAACAACGAAATCGCTAACCTCACATCATCATCCTCTACACGCCTCCCCTTAGTACGACAGCTTCGCTTATTCCTAGATCCCGATGGATTTCTTCGTTGCGGCGGGAGGATTCATAATGCCCCACTTAGTGAACTGGCCAGATTTCCAGATTATGAAAGTGAGTCAGATATTCGACGCCAAGTGAAACTACAAGCTATCATTTTACAACGGTTCTGGAAAAGATGGAGGCACGAATATTTAACCTCGTTACGTGAGTTTCATCGTTCTAGCGGAGACAATAAGCAGATTATTAAGAAAGGAGACGTAGTTCTAGTCCATGACGACAGCCCAAGGTCCACCTGGAAACTAGCAGTTGTTGAAGATCTCATTCGAGGAGGTGATAACTTGGTCCGAGCAGCGAACATTCGAACAAGCACAGGGTATACAAACAGACCAATTTGCAAATTGTACCCACTAGAACTGTCAACGAACGAAGTCGAGGAAAGGGACATAAGCAACTGTGATCAAGAAAACCTCGTTGTCAACAATTCAACTGAACAAGAGAGAACAGTTAGAAACAGACCCATAAGAACCTCAGCCGCGAGAGCAGCCAACAGAATTTCAGAATGGACAAAGATCTTACGCCGCCCCCCGGAGGATGTCGAAGAGATATGAACATTCCAGTATACAGTATATAGCTCAGGACTTTAGCGCATGCGCATGATGATATTTACATGTGCTCGATTCAGAGATTGACAAAAACTATAGCGTATTTGGTTTATATTCTACTATAAAGGTTGTACTATTTCTATGCATATTACTCTATTAAACGAAGTCAAGTACTCTATTTCCGTCATACACATTCTACTCTACA